TTGGCTCCACCATCGTCCACATACCGGGCATTAGTTCGGCCGTGAAAGGCCATATTCAGCCATAAGGTACCAAATGTTCATTTTTCATTAGCCGCAAATGGTTATCAGTGTTTGTCAGAATTACACAAGTTCGTGTTGTTGATTGGCACCTCACTAACATTATTTCGTATATACAGATTCCACTGTATATCAAGCAATGCAATTGGTAACGTTATGAAACGAGCAATGCTTATTTAGGTCTTCTGTCTAATTAATGCTTGTCAGTCGCGTCATTGCCGTTTGCGCAGCACGAATGTCCTTGATGCCCAGCTACCACAGTATGACGCATTAACTTTTAGAACGATCGGACATGGGACGCTGCTCGATTCTCGAATACCTGACAAATTGAAGTGTAATGTGTATATTTGGGATGTCGTCGCCTAATTGTGATCAAAATCAAGCTGCGTATTTGAGCTCGCGAAATGACATCCGTCCTACTATTTCAGCTGCTTCGGTATGTCGGTGGCAAAATGTATCGCTATGCTCTTAGCAAAATTAATTATGTGATCGATTGTGGGAAGCTCATGTGCTAACTTTGTCTTTATCGTTTTCGCCGTGATTGGTCTTTAGTTTGCCTGACAAGTCACTATTGACGAGTAACCAAGTCGCTTTGCTGGATCACTCACGACTAACGTCAATATCTTGTCATTGCTACCTCGTATTTATACCACGTACGTTCACATACGAAATGGCAAGAAAGGGGACAGACTCATTAAGCCAGCATTGAGATTTTCTGTCATCGGGCCACTCTCCATCTATATTCTGTTACGAAGTCTGGCTGATGTACAGTGTTTGTGCCTCCCTCCGTTCTGACAGCACCTCTCCCTCTCGGCAGGGCCTCATCTTTGTGGTGGACAGTAACGATCGGGAGCGAGTGGGCGAGGCGCGCGAGGAGCTCATGCGGATGCTGGCGGAGGACGAGCTGCGGGAGGCCGTGCTCCTCATCTTCGCCAACAAACAGGTACGGCCCCGGTGCGGGTCTGTGGGCCAGTGTCCGCTAGAGACGGACGCTGATCGCAGGAGCCGCGCGATGTCATGGGATGTTGCCCGCCATGGTTTTTGTCTATATTCGGTTGTATCCCTTCTAGTGTGTAACGATTTTCTAAAAAGCCATGTCTCGCAGCTAAGCTGTCCGTCCCATATCATTATTGTTATTGGTTGTCTTGGGGGTATTCTTGGCCGACTGCTGTGATCCATTGACGGCTTATTGCTTCAGCTACCGTGATTAAGTTGTGGGCGAACTGTCAGGTCTGATATCGGCTTATCGGTGGGTCAATCACTGCTCTGAACCTGGGCAATAATAGCTCATCCGTGGGAGTGGCAGCTGCATGGGCAGCGTTCGGAGAGTATCCGGCGAACCATAGCATTGATCTAGTTATGAAACCTTCTAACTGTTATTTGCTGTCCAAGACTCGACTTGTGGGTGAATATGTGGACGGGTGCTACGGCTGTTTGAGTTAGCCTCCGTTACGTAGGATTTTACGTCAGGTTAACGGGTTTGGGTCCGTTTTTTGTATATGAACCGTTGACCGCAAACGAATGACTGGCATACCCGTATCAGCAGCTGCTGTGTTGGGGGTCTGGTTGGTCGACTTTTCCTTGTATGGTATTGCGTAACTGTGATGCGGGCGGATTATGGATAGGTTCAACTGACGGGCTCTGTGTTGACAGGACCTGCCGAACGCCATGAATGCCGCCGAGATCACCGACAAGCTGGGCCTGCACTCGCTGCGGAACCGCAACTGGTACATCCAGGCGACGTGCGCCACATCCGGAGACGGCCTCTACGAGGGCCTCGACTGGCTCTCCAATCAGCTCAAGAGCGCCGCTCGCTAGGCGGACCGCACAGCCACTCACCGAGCGACCGGGCGCACGCGCTGACCGCCCACCGTGTGCCGCGCGCGTGTGCGAGTGAGCGAGCGAGAGAGCCACTGGCGGCACGGACTGAGCCACGCAGAGAGACAGACATTCCGAGGGAGAGAGAGAGAGAGAGCGCGCGCGGCCGCCGGCCCGGAGAGCTGGCGGCGCGCCGCGGGCCGGCCGGCGCCCGCAGAGCGGCACAGCGGCCAGACAGCGCGCCCAGGGAGCTCGCCGGCCGCTATTCGCGTCCAGTGTTGTGCTCCTCATCGTATGAATCGTGTTACTTTGGCTTGCAATCGGGTGGGCTTTTATCAATATTTATGATCAATTATCGCTGTGCTCCCGTTCGGCATTCTGTAAATGAAATTGTTTGATTTAGAAAGAATAAATATTCTCCACAATTAGCTAATGTTTGTTTAGTGTAATCCGGGTGTTTTGATGTTAGACTCAGGGACGTCCTGATTTTGGCACAAAACTCGTACCTATATAAAGTACCAGACAGGACGTACGCTCGCTGCTCAGTAAATGAGGATTTACAACACAATCGTCCAATACCGAACGTCAGGAATGATGGAGCTGTAATCGTCAAAGTAGCCGCCTCTACTGGTAGCTTGATGTCCCGTGCCAGAGCTGATGTACGGATGGGAATGGTTTCATCAGTTTTTAGTAACAATGGTTCTGAAGCGTCGCCTGGTTCACTGCTTGCAAGTCAGGGCCCAGTTCATATAGAGCCCCTTTGCTGCTAAGCGACACTTATCGGAAAGGGGAACCCGACAGACTGGTTCATATAGCCACCCTTACACACCGGCCCAATGTTACCAAAAGTGTCCTTTTGAAAAGTGGCTTTTTGGAAAAGTGTCACTTGCCGACTGGCTTTTCTATATGGACTGGGCCCACATGTCTAACCGACTCCGCCATAGCTCGTAATGCCCAAGATTCCTATAGATGATGCCACCGTTCGTCAGTTCCGCCTTCCGTCAATGACCCCACCCTCGGGAGCCGACGGCCGTCTCCCGATCACACCTGTGTGGCTGTGACGTCACCAGCCGCCTGCTGGGCCACAGCTGCTGCTGCGGCCGCGCACTGTGCACGACGGTGGCCTGGGTGCGTGAGAGCTGCCGAGTCCGCAGTCGGCACCAACCGGGAGCTGCTGCGCATCGAGTCAATATAACGGCCTCTGGATTACAAATGGAAAACTTTCATGGACCTGGGAACAGGGGGCAGCAGGGACGTAGGGGGGGGGGGGGGGGGCAGCCCCTGGAGTTCTATAGTCTTGGTACACAGTACACACTGCATTGAATCCAGATCCCTGCCCTCAGACCGTTTCCTATTGTGGCTTGTGGTCATCAATACACCTTTGAAAATTGACTCAACTCGGAAAATGAGCTGTCTTATAGCAATCCTACTTTAAGAAACGAACTTCTGTGTTGATATTGCACTACAAATAGTCATTTTTGCGTCTGATAAGTAATATGCGTGGCGTCAAGAACAATCTATAGGCGCCACAATAATTTAGACATAGTGACTCAACAACTCATCGTACCAACCAGGCGTGCACCGTGAGCAGCGTCACCGGGAATGTGGCGTCAGCTGATTGATGCGTTTGCTGCTTTTGAACAATTGCGTACGGTACATATCGTTTACATTTGAAATTAATTAATGTGTCAAATTATATTATTATATATTGACACTGTATATTATTATAATGTGTCAAACTATTATTATTACAATGTGTTATTCAATGTATAATCAAGTCATTATTAAAAGTCTCATATTATAATTTGAGTCTTGGCGAGTAAATAGAAATAGCATATGATCCTCGTAGTAAAGCATACACGTATTTGTGAGAAAATGGATAGAATCAAATATAGCAGCGATTCCCTTTCCTGGTTGGCATCGCTTTTTATTTTACATACGCAACCATATATCCCTGATGCCGAATATCAGGCGCCGCCGCGCCGGGCATGGACACACACTTGAGATCGGCACGGACTCAGCCATTGTCAGCCCAGCTTGATGCAAAAGTGCTTCTGTAAATAAAATAACACTGAAGTGGTGCTGGTTCTCCAGCCATTATATCCAGCGCAAATGAAGGCCGAGGGTCGCGCCTTCGTTTTTTAAAGTTATAAGTTCTCTAAGCTATACGACATCCCGGCGTACCACGTCGTCGTGGGCGGCGTTTCACGGCCGCTGCTAGCACACTGCCACCACACGCAGAGAAATCGGTTTCCACAGACCGACAAACTCGGACGCTCCAATATTGAATGGCGTTAGTTAGCTGGTCTCCAAAGTCAATGCAGTGATTTGACATCGACGTGACCCGTGAACCTACGTGCGGAAAATGTACCAAAAAATCCGTCTCGACCATCCGTTCGGAAGCTGGATGAAGAGCCAAAAATCTGCATCCCTCCCAGCGATTCGTATATTCGTCCCCATACTTCAAGAAGTCCGGTTTAAAAAAATATGCGAACAAAACGCACATTAACGGATTTAAAACGGAAACAAGCTTCACCACTCACACGCAAAACTGAGGCGAAACTTGAGCTGTCATTCAATTGTATAAATGATGTGAATTTACCACGAGCACAGCGCAGAACCAACATGCTCGGTCCGAACTCAGCTTTGCAGATACCAGCTCTCACCGCGCCGAATAGTCTCACAAACGGCAAAAACAGGTCTGATGCGTGAAATTCATGGCATTCTAATCGTTAGATCAGTAATATCGCAGTAGGGGAAGCACACAGGTCGTGTTAAATGTACAGAAAAGTCCGCCAAACAATTACATCCATCATGATAACGAATGTCAGTTAAAACTCACCGGAACTATCGTTCTCATACATACGGCCACGGGAGAGGGGGATGAACGTCACAATGACCAATTGCACAGCAAATGAATCGTAGCGAATGAATCGTACAATTATCACAGTTATAATTTGATCATAACGAACTTAACCTAGCACCGGTGTAATTCCTCCCCGCCTCCCGCTCCTGTCTATCATCTGATCATCCTCACAACTATCTCATTCAAATCACCCCGACCCGCACCATATTTCCACCGAAGGGTTCACTCTATGCAAAACTGTCAATCCCGTGGCAGACGGTGCCGCGCCGTCTGCCACGGGATCTGCCACGGGACGCGTCGTCAGACGGTCCTTAGCACCACCATGCCTCCGTTAAACTTTGGGTGACAAGCCACTATTCGCGCCAGCGCCGGTCGGGACGCCTCGGTGGCTCGGCGCCGCATCGCCTCCGCATGGGCAAGACTCGGTAGGAAGCGCATCATGAGGTCTCCGTCACCCGGGTGGCGGACGAGCCGCCTACCGAGCCATCCACGCAAATGCTTCGCTATCTTCGTCCACAGGACGCCGTCAGACTGTCGCCCACGAGTCTGGAAGGGAACAGAACGGACGGTCAGACGATCTAAAGGCCGCCCCGCACTGGACCTCGCATGCGGGTTGCGAGTTTTTGGGTTTTCGGGTTTCTTCAAAATCAAATAGGTAATACAATCTAAGCTGAGTCACCCACACTACCATCTAACAGGCGAGTCTGCATGTTTTTAGCTTGCGAGCGACCTTGCATCGCATTCCAAAAGTTGGTTTTGAGTCAACTTTCGAATTTCCTCGCTGCGAGGTGTGCGAGTTCTGCGAGGTTTGCGGATTTTTCGTTAGAGTCTAATTTTGGTTCGTTGCGCTGGTATTGCGACTATATGTAAGTTTCTGAAGGTGCACCAGCATCACTGCATCATGAAGTTACCATAAGGAAGCGATCTAATCACTCTATGAATTAGTATTATGCCCGCAAACTCAAAACCCGCAAACTCGCAACCCGCATGCGAGTTCCAGTGTGGGGCGGCCTTAAGGCGTATATGTAGGTACGTTAACAGTGTAGGATACGTTAGTGATGACTAAAAAAATCGTCAAAATTTAGCACTAACATTTTAACTGTGCAAAGGAACGTTATTTCATTAATAGACAATTATGTACGCAAACTTTACAAATCTTGCCACTGTCTCCGAGCCAGAGGGTGCCGTGTGCCAATACTTGAGCAGCCCAATTAACTGCTAAAATAGTTAACACTGGCATGAGATATTATACCTGAGCATTCGCTCGACCGCTCCAGCTGGTATTTTGCAGAGCGCCGCCGCCGCCGGCTCCCGCCATAGCCAGCGCAGCGGAGCGGCCACTTGGTCTTGCGGCACGGCAGCAGCCAACAGCATGATCGCCGGCACCTGCGCATTGAACATTTTATTAATAGGTGACATTTTCTTAGAGGACCTGACACGCGACCCAGAAGAAATGCATAATATAATATATTCAAGGAAAACCTTGTTTAAAGAAATGTAAAGCATATGCTTTCAAATAAAACACAAATTGGTCCATTAGAACAAACAGAGTCAAGAAGCCCAAAAACCAAACAATGTGTTCTGTATGTTAGCAGCCCGTGAAAAGGTAACGCTGTAACTTCTGAGCGGTATGACAATATAATGTTACGTTATGTTTAAAGATTGTTGTACACGAAAACAACACAAATCATGCCGTCAGCTCCAGCCGGATAATGTCGCGTGTAAAAGCATTAGCAGCCCAATTACAACCATATCATAAGTTATCATACCTGAGTTACCGCTGCACTGATCCAGCTGGTGACCCGTCGCCGCCGCCGGCTCCAGCCATAGCCAGCGCACCGGCGCGGTACACAGATGACAGAGTGCGGCCACGCTTGACGCTACAGTCTTGTTGTACGTCGCCGCCGGCTCCCGGCTATGATGCGGCGGAGAAGGCCCTTGTAGTCGAGGAAGACGGGCTGCTTCCAACGACTGCACAAGGATCGGACCATCACCACCTGCATCTTGTCGTTAGGGCCGTAGACCGCGTCGTCCGTGGAGTCGTACGCCACGCGGGGATCGATGGTGATCTCGTCGAAGGGATTAGACGAGCAGCCTCTCATGCGGCGTTATGGTGTCTGCGGACGAGCGCATGATCTGCAGAACTATGTCCAGGATCCTAGGTGACGTCCGGAAGCCTCGAGTCCAGCGGCGGAGGGTGGAGAGGCCAGGCAGCTGGAACTGGAACTTCTTCATGAGGAGCCGATAACATATTCTCCTTGAGCAGCAGCGAATCACCTATCTAGCGCGCGGAGGACGACCAGCAGCGTCACTCTGGCAGACGCCGCTGTGCTGTGCCCCAGACCGGCACAACAGCAAGGCCACACTAGAGTCTTGCGACCCGTCGCCACCGCCGGCTCCCGCCATAGCCAGCGCAGCGGCGAGACACGCAGACTAAGAGGCCACACAGCAGTCGTGTTGCACGCCGCCACCGGCTCCCGCCACAGCCAGCGCGGCGGAGCGGCCACTTGGTCTTGCGGCATGGCAGCAGCCAGCAGCATGCTCGCCAGCACCGCCGCGGCACCAGGTCCTGCGAATTGCAAATTTTATTAATAGGTGGCATTTTCTTAGAGGGCCAGACACGCGATCCAGATGAAATGCATAAAATAATATATTTATGGAAAACTTTGGTACTGGTAAGGTAAGGTAAGGTAAGAAATGTAAGGCATATTATTTCAAATGAAACACAAACTGGTCCATTAGACCAAACGGAGTCAAGACGACCAAAAACCAAACAATGTGTTCCATATGTTAGCAGCCCGTGAAAGGTAATGCTGTAACTTCTGAGCTATAGCAAAACATTTCTATGTTATGTTTCTTTAAAGATTGTTGCACACAAACAGAGCACAAATCATGCCGTCAACTCCAGCTGGATAATGACGCGTGTGAAAGCATCAGCAGCTCAATTGCAATATTATAAGTTATCATACCCGAGTTTCCTCTGAACTGATCCAGCTGGTGTCTTGCGACCAGTTGCCACCGCAGGCTCCTGCCACAGCCAGCATAGCGGCGCGGCACACAGACTGAGAGACCACGTTAAGGTCTTGTGGCTAGCCGCTGCTGCCGGCTCCCGCCACAGCCAGTGCTGCAGCATGTCCACCTGGTCTTGCGGCACGCAGAAGCCACACACAAAAGTCTTGTGGCATGCAGAGGCCACACAAGTCTTGTGACGAGCAGAGGCCACACAGTCTTGTGACGAGCAGAGACCACACAGTCTTGTGACACGCAGAGGCAACACACAGTCGTGTGACGCACAGAGGCCCGACATAAGTCTTGCAGGACGCAGAGAGGCCACACTAATGCACAGCAGCGATACACGCAGACTGAGAGGCCAACATTTGGAGCCTGCTCTGCTCCATACAAATTCCGGTGAAGCTGCACCAGCACAGCACCATGCTGAGTGATGCATGGTGACTCCACACTAGACCGACATCAATGGAGAGCCCAGCCAATGCACTAGTCAAGTAATCCCACCTGAACAATTTTGATCTGTGACTTGCCAAAGAATATACACTTATGGCAGAGAGGGACATGACATCGTCCAGCAAGCTTTTCAGAATCAGGATCACCCATTCCATTCCAAGAGCCTGAATGGACTTCGAAACGTACCTACCAAGAACCAATTTTGTTTAATTTTGGCACTTCAGAATCACTTGCAATCAGTGCGCGCCCCTCATATGCACAACGCCGTCTAGCAACTTCAATATTCATCTTGAAAATCCAATTCTAATTAACCATACACAGCACAACAAAACAACCCTAGCTAACGTATCTCGGGCAACATGGCGTCGGCGACGGAAGTGGCGCACGTCGCCATTGTTAATATACGGTTTATATTTAAAAACGATATAGTTTTTGACAAATTTAGCCATTTTCCGTAAAACCATATGTTTAATGAGGTATATCATTCGAAACTTGATACGCCAATCTATCTAAATCAATAATTTGTAGAGGCCAGCTCCCTCTCATTTTTTAACTACCTCTTTACCATAGTGCCATTTTCACACAGACATTGAAGCCTTTAGGGCCGAATTTAGCCTTTTTCCGTAAAACCTTAAGGTTAATGGAAGCTAACAGCTAACAGACAATTAAATACTGGTGCTAATTTCAATTTTTATAGAGGCCAGCTCCCTCTAGATTTTTTATAGGGACGCTCTGTTTAAGGGCCATTACTTCCTATCGAGCACAAAATGACACTTCGAAGAGCGATGATTTAATGTTAAGCTGTTGTTTTCCAAAAAGTGCAAATCAAGATGATGCAAAAATTAATTTCCTTTCTAAAAATATCCCGAATAAAGAAGTTTCACAGCCTAGATACTGAGATATCCGAGGCTTCCAGAAGGCATGATATAATACCGTGAAATTACAAATTTCTTGGCAAGAACGAATTTAGATGAGGATAACTAAAAATATGTCCTTATTAAATCGTAAAACATAAGTAATAGCAAAGTATAAGGAAAATCTGTAATGTAGTTACGGAGCAAGTTCTTTTGCAAATGGTGCTTTCAACAGCTGTCAAGACCTGAACCCGTTGCCTTCATGTTGAAGGAATTTCTCGGTGTTACCTAGTGTTTTTATATACCTTGGTACCAACTATGTCCCAGAGTTTCCAATCCTTTAAGAGCATTCGTGTACTTTTCAAGACAATCCTGCTCACGATGCCTGAGTCGGTGAAAATGCGTTTGCTGAAAAAAAAACCTGAGAAAACGGCGTTTAGTTCCTCTATCATAAATAGAAAACGCCCTTTCTGTAGAAGAACTAGGGGACTATTCTATTTCTGAAGATAAGACACTGAAGGCTTCAAGGCATAGTGATAATAATTCATATTTGACAAAACATATATGCATCTTCGAAATAACATGATTGCTGACTCCTGTTGCTGATTGGCTGCTTTGTCATATTTTTCGTTACGAATGGCGTCGCTGAACACGTTTTTGCTGTGGCTTTGCTTTGTCTCGATTGCCATTTATGTACATAAGTAGTAAGAACAAATTTGCGCATTTAGCTTGGATTACAAGAGGTTCGTTGTCAATTATTGTCCTCAAAACATGAATTCAGGATTAAGTGATCTGGTGCTGTTTCCCAATTGTATTTCTGCTTCCACGCTTCAATGAATTATGATATGTAATTAAGTTTTCGGTTTTGAAAATTTGTCAAAATTATTTTCAGTATGTATCTCATTAAGATTTTGGGCATGGTTTAAAGTCCCAAAGTTGTAAGAACCTATAAGAGGTATACGAAAGTCGTTTTTCGTGAGAAGGCTTGTCATTATGTGCTTTGTTTTATGGAGCCTTCACTGACTAGAAATTGTGTTTGTTTACTTTTGTTGTAATTCCACAATTCCATAAGTGTTGGTGCCACAATTATGGAACCTGTGGTCACTTGTAGCATTGCAGCCTGCAAGCTGGAGCTGTGAGTGGACTTCTTCCTAGCTATCCCTGTCATCCCCTTATTTGTATGGCTGTTCTCTGATTGATATAGGGAACTAAAGGCTTGGAACAGGACCAGGTGAATTGAAAGCTATTAGACTTCTCAAAAGACTTGTTTTAAATGGAGGCCTTGGCAATAATTCTGCTCAATCTAACCTTTTTGACACCAATTTTACCTTTTTCAGGTGGCAATTCTAAAATGCCCAAAATAACACAAACGTTTCCTGTTGTAGCCTTGCAGCGACTGCAGAAAACTTATGGTAAGACCCTTGTAAGGAGACTGATGTTAATGTTGATGTGAGAAGATGCAGAAGATGTACTAGGCATTGTTGCTTTTACCTTAATTCGAAAATTTGGAAAATGCTCCATTACATCTGTACTCTGTAGTGTTGGGTAGCTTGTTCTGACTGCTTTTAATTCATCCATCTTTCTGACATACTTACAACTATTTACAAGGGAAACTGCATTGTTATGTTGAATGTTAACTATGAAGCATGCAACATTTATCAGGAATTTGATTCCTAGTTCTGATGACCCTCAAGGTAAGGCAATGTATGGTAAGGTATTTAGGATAATGATTAATGAGCCAACAGAAGATGATTGGTAAATATGTAAGGCACAGCTTCTTTCAGAACTGGCAGGGTTTGAATCACTGGGGTACAGACAGTCACAGCCACAGCCACACTTTGATGTGGCAGGACTGAATTTCTAAATTTCTGGCCCCATTCAGTAGATCCCACATTCTTGTAATGTAGGGTAGCCAACCATGAACACCTTACCTTACCTTTACCTTACCTTACTGTTGGCGGGACTTTGGGAGGCCACTCATAAAAAGCTATCTGTTTTCAGGTGTGAGTAGAAAGTGTGCAAATGTTATACTTCTGAAGCAACAGGAAATAAGAGAAGATGATGATTATGATGTGATGTCTACACTTGGATTGCTGCATGTAAGTTCATATTTACCACAATAATTAGGTCCAACTGGCATTTGATTTAGTTGGGACTGAGATGTATCAATCCCTAACCTTGAGTAGGCTCTTAGTGGCTAGTCTTTATTAAATCATGATATCATCTATTTGGGCCACTTAGCCCATTTCTAGCTCTTACCATATACAAGTTAGTTTTTATTGACACTGTACCAGCACATCTCCCTGGCTGTTACAGCGATGTCTACTCCTATTTCATGGTATGGGCGGAGTCTGGGCCCTGCCACCGTGTGGTTTGCTGGCCGCTGCTCCTGTCAGCCAGATTATGTAATAATGTGCGGGAGTGTTTTGCCGGGTCAGTTGGCCCAGCGGCCAGCACCGGCGCCGCCTTTGGCCTTGTTATCCGGCCGGGCTCTCACGAATAAACCGTTGTTGTTGCCAACCAGACTGTTGATGACCACTTAACCATTTTTGCTGAGGTCAGTTCATCTGAATATTTTTCGATGTTTCTTTTTTTGAAGCCCTTAGAAAAGTACTTGCTAATCGGCCCACATGACGTTTTGTGCTCGCTCAGAAATGGAAACTGGACTTGGAGCTGGTGACCCGATTTCCCCAAATCCTGAAGCGGCCGCCGTACGCCCTCGACCATCACAAACATATTCTGGAAGAATGTGGCATCACTGTGGGCGTCTCCAGCCTGGCTTCGTGAGTACATTATCGGTATATACTGCCTTGATCGGTATCGGTAATTCTTCGTGGCCTTGTTATCGACGTCATGCTACCATGCTTGCCATTAAATGCCTTTCGAGCTACGAACAACAAAGGCCCAACATAATACCGGCATAGCTGGAGTAAGATTTAACTATCTATAGTGAACTTAATTTATAAAAAATAGTGAACTGAAATTTATAGTGAACTTCCTCAGCTGTTTTTTTTTTCAGTATGATGCCGTGTCGGGGGACTGACATATATACTTCTGCCGGTGTAATGCATTCACATAGGTATCATCTGTATGTTTTTGTATCTCCGGCAGATACCTGAAGGTGAACCGTTCGTTCCTGTTCGCCCTGGAGGCGCACGGAGCCATTCCGGCCGGTCATGATGTCATCGGCAGTCTGTGCCGGTCAGTGGAGCTGGCGCCGGCCGTGGAGGACACAGTCAGGTGAGTTGAACTACTGTACAGAGCGCCGAGACGTGTTCAGTGTGACTGTACCGGTCGGTGGAGCTGACGCAGGCTGTAGAGGATTCAGTCAGGTGAGCGGGGACGTCACACACAGACATATAGAGTGTTGGGTTATGCTCGGGCTTTGATGCATTCTGTCCTTCGGTCTTGGCTTCCAACTAATGTGTGAGTCGTGAGATGTGTGGCAAGGTTGAAGAATTTCGTATTTTACCGTGAAGTAGTTCGCTCTTGCGACCATATGTATTTCGCCTTTTTTTGCTCCACGTCCACGGACATGTTTTGACTTGCCGAGCCGTTCATCTTCCCTCGTCTCCCCTCCCCTCCGGTGTTTACTGAGCCTACCCGGTGTAACCACGTACCCGGTCGGTTCCAGGGGCTCGCTGGGCTCGGTCCAGTCGCGCACACTGCTGGATGTGCGCCTGGCCGTGTTCCAGCAGTACCTGCGCCAGCGGCTGGACTGCGACGCCAGCGACGCTGAGGCCATGATCACCAAGTATCCGCGAAACCGGCACAAGAGTCTGCGACTGACTGCGCGCATACTGCAGCTCCTGGAGGCACAGGGACTCGCCGCCGAAAAGGTACGGCTGCAGATTAAATGCCCGTCCGTCCGTCCGTCTCCTAGCTGGTAGTCTAGACGGAAAATGAACGATCTCGGTCTTGCTAATTGCTATAGATAATCCTTAATTTCTTGTTGGCGTCAAAGAAGTAGCTTCAATAACGTTTCAATGCGATTTGTTTCACCGGGCAAGTCACTTTTGATTGCTAGGATGTGACCAACGCGCTGACGGGTGAACCGTACTGACGCTTGCTGACTCTCCGTGCGCAGATTGTGCGCAACCCGTACCTGCTGAACACCCACCCGGACCAGCTGGAGGCGCTGCTGGAGAACTGTCCTACCGTGGCCAGCACCGACATCCGAGAGATGCTGCGCAAGGTGCCGCGCATCGCCTACATGCCCTGGCACAACACGGCACAGATCGTCAGGTACGATAGTACACACAGCACGGCCCATATAGTTTGGCACGGTGAATGCCTCATGCTTCATGGCAAGGATATTCGACGATGGATACCTACGTCTGCTGATTGTGTTCAGCTGGACACCTGACGTTTATGATTCAGGTCGCCTGCATATCCTCGTGTTCCGCAATTGAAGCCGATGTGAATAATAAGTAAAGCAGTCTGTTTGGCTGTGAATTACTGTTATGGTTTCGCTGTTGAGCCTATCGTACCTCGTTCGGAGCCCATGCGTGCAGTGTTTGATGTCCCGTTCCTGCCTGGTACCGTGTCGCTCTCTGCACACCTCTGAGGGCTCTGTGTTTGCTGCAGGATCGTGGAGGAGTTTGGCTTCTCGGAGCAGACGGTGCTGAACGGCGCCGAGGTCTTCACGCTGGCCGCCGACACGGTGCGAGAGCGGCTGGCGCTCATGGCAGAGGTCAGTAACACTAATAGAGGTCAGGTTACATGGCAGTAATTCGTCACATAGGTCAGTGACCCGTACCTGAGGTCAGGCTAGGTATCAAATATCCGTTCCAGAGATCAGTGACTCATATTAGAGGTCAGGTCAGATTGTGAGGAAGCTAGGGGGTTGGTGACGTGATAGATGTGCTAGTGCTCAATATTCCGTCATGTCATTCAGGGGGTCTCATTGAAGAGATTCGATAACCGGCCCCGAAAATCGGCATCATAAAATCC